GCTTGGGATGAAATGATTAAAAAAAAAACGCTATGATTCTCATTCTTTCTATCTCCGCACTTTTCGTTGTGCCATTCATCACTTGAATGTCTGCATTTGTTTCTAATGTTTATACTTAATGTTCTCTACCATTCCTTGGCATTGCTTGCAGTCTTTTTTCATCATCTCGAGAATTTAATCTGCCATCCACTTCTTTTGTCGTTTTTCCTTGGGATGATATCACTAGAGCTTCTTTTAATGCGTTCCACTTTAAAGTTATTATTCTACCCAAGTTATTATATTTACTTTTAACTCTGTCAGCATATATCTATTTACAAATTGAGTCATTGTGGAGGCTGTCCTATTGTAGATTAGGCGTTGCTTGGTTTTCTTTAATTTCTGTTGTTTTAATCTTAGTTTGTATATGACTAGGGAGGGTCACTTCCACAGTCAGAATTTGCAGAGCAAGGATCTCGTTGTCCCCCACCGAATCTATGATACATGGTTACCCACTCTCAATTTTCATAAGGTAGCATTCATAAAAATACAAATTTTCTTGTAACCTAATCATGTACAATAAAAGATCTTATGCAATATAGATGAACAATTCAAATAGAAAAACTGAAAATAAATAAAAGGTGTCTAAATACAAATTAGAGACATGTCATAATAGATCATTCCATCTTAAATAATTCAAAAATGTTTTGCGGCAATTTTTAACATCAACGTGAGATTATTTTTGTTAAAAAGTTGAATTTTAACACATTCAAAATTATGTATAAAAAATAGTGAATTTTATATCGCGTTTTTTCAAGACTTAGTATGAGAAAATAAATTCACGGATTTGGTTTAAAAAAAGAACTCAGAATGGCATAAAAATCCACGAAACCTTTTCATTCTTTCATAGTCACTTGTGCGTAGTTTAATTTGTAATGTATATAAATGTAGGCAGAAAAAAGTAAATGTTGATAAGATAGCAAGTGTTACAAAGCATTGTATGGTGCCTCCAATTCGATTTAGAACCCCGACTTGAGGTTTCTGGGGTAGTTCGCACCGACCCTAAGCACTTAGGATAGGTTTAGTATAGAACGGTATTCCTTAGTTTTTTATTGATTGTTCAGTAATTGACCTCGTTCTTCGTGTTCCCTCCTGGGCTCTTCCATATCCACAAGCATCTTCGTTGCTCTTGTAACCAGGTGTTGGTTATTATTTGGTCGTGCACCACTGAACCCATTATTCTCAGCGATCATTACTGTATACTACTCCGTACTTGCCAACTATTTTACTATCTTGTTCCTATTTTGGTATTTAGGTCTGCCATGATGGTACCATTATACAGTGTGTTATGAAAGTTTTCAATTTTTCCTGTATTTTGTTCTGTTGGTGCGTATATTACTATAAAGTTTAAATTACGTGGCTTTTTCTTCAGCATAAGTTTTCTTACAGACGGAAAATGTGCCACGAAATTGCATTGGAATAGTGAAAGATGTCTTCCAAAAGTTAAAAGAAAAGCACTGATATGCAACATCAATCCCGTTATATGGCAGTGAATGCTGGACAATTTGCTCACAGATGAAGAAAATTCAGTTAGAGAAAGATGTTGAGAATACCATGGATGGAGCATGGTTAGGAACAAGGAAGTTTTACAACTGTCTCTTTTGAATTTTGACTAGAAGTTTCATTTCTGTTTCCATAAACAGAAAGCAAACTTCTACTCAAAATTAGAAAGAGATAGTTGATATTTCTAGGGCACATAATGAGGAAAGAGAATATGGATGGCAGAACAAGGACTGAAAGGATAGTAAAGAGATATATGTGGAAAGCTACGGTTGCCTAGCTCCTGAAGAAATATGATTTCTTCAGGAGCTAGGCGATCATGGCTCTCAGCATATTCGATTTTTTATTGTCTGCAAACTGTTATTGAGAAAGATAGTGGAGTGGTTTGCCGTTGTCTTCCACTGTTTGAAAGTCAGGGTTATTTTTTCTTTTTAGAATGGTTGTCACGCTGTCTACGTTGCTATTTAATGCATGACTCAGAAGAGAAGATTCATACTTTTTCACAATGGCATTTGTGCGAAAGTGAACGCATCAGACTAGAAAGAATTTAAACTCAGACACTCCATTTCACTTTCTGTCACATTACACGCACATCCTTCCAGATCTTCAATTACAGTCGTTTTAACAAATTCCAGATAATTTCAATATTGCAACAAGATGTATGTATATTTTCAGATAAAGACGGTAAACTTTTTGTATAACAAAATAAATTTGAGAAATTATATTAAATAATCATCAATAATGGATAAGTCAACGGGTCATGTGGTCAAGTTTATTATTATTATTGAGAGAGCAGCACGCTAAGAATGTGACACTGAGGTAGAAATATACAAAGCCCAATTTGACACCCAGTCAACCAAAAGAGTATAGCCAAACACATGCGTCATAACCAAAAATGTATGCTATATTGTAATCAGTTTTGATAAAAGTGGCGCGTAATCTTACAGGTGGGACCTAATTAGAAATACCTTCAGATCGGATGACCTAGTTCACTCAGACGGTCCCAGTCACCCTGGCTGTCTCAGCCTTCAAACTACCTTCACGATCTTCGGCCTTGATATTCCCTCAAAACTCCCGCTCATAAACGGAGATACCGACATGGTTAAGATCACGCAGGTGACAAGTAAATCTGTGGTACTAACCGGGAAATTTATTTTAGCCCATCCCAATTCATCAAAAAAAAAAAATATATATATATATATATATATATATATATATATATATATATATATATATATATATATATATATATATATTGACGCCAACCATGAAAGGCATGCCTAGTATATTATTATTGTTGTTGTTTTAAAATGGAAAATTAACATTTGGTGTATTTCTTTACTCAAATTTAGATTTTTATACTAAATCTAACAATTGATAACAGAGTAACATTTTTCCACCAGTTATTAACTTGAAATGCGCGAGTTTTGTGTGAAAAGCCTATGTAAATTTTTAACGTTGTTATCTTCCTGTTATGAGCGCAACACTGAAAAGTTTCGAGACACTTGATTGCTGGGAACCATCAAATGACGTCGATTAGTGACGCGCGGGAAGCGAAATTGGTTGATGTTAATCTGAAAAAAAGCAGACGTTAGGGACTGCGTCGGCTGAGCAATGACATCATGTAACAGAAAAAGTATCCTACTCATCAACAAGTTGTAGAGCTCTTTAACTTACAAATACATACATAATCTAAGCACAGCTATGTAGACATGCATTCTTCCAACCCACTCTCTCTTTCGTCTTATTATCTTTCTCTCGCTTTCTGTTTCTTTATCCAACTATCTTTGATAGATCTCGTAAAAATGAACTTGAATGAAAATTTCCATCTTTTACTACAACGTAAGATAAAGTGATAAGCCACAGAGAGAGAGAGAGAGAGAGAGAGAGAGAGAGAGAGAGAGAGAGAGAGAGAGAGAGAGCGAGTTGAGAGATAGAGGATAATAAATAAGAAACAAGTCAGGTTGGAATGAGATGAGAAGTAAAGGCGAAAAACGAAAGAAAGAAGAAAAGGAGAGTAGTGATGGGAAGTAAAGAGAGACGTAAAAGAGAGATTTATAGGTCAAAGCCATCCTCACATCTACTTGGTGTTAAGTGTAACAACCTATATATCTCCTCGATAGTTTGTCCGTCGTCAGCTAGCGTAATTTACTCTCACCCATTCGTTGTGTTAAAAAGAAAGCCCCACAATATAATGGCGCTCGACGCTCACTACACCATCACCGTACACACACATCAACCCACTTTCTTCTGCTACAGATTCGGTTCGTTAGTAGTAGTAGTAGGAGGAGGTAGTTCGCTTAGAATTGTTTTTTCTTTATTTTTTATTTTATTTTATTTTATTTTTTTTTGCAGGCTTTTTAAAGTGTTTTAGTATTTCGTTCATTTTTCCGTCAGGGAAATCCTCTCTCAAATAGAAGGGAATTAAGCTCATAGGGTGTGCACATGTGGGGGTAGTGTGTGTGTGTGTGTGTGTGTGTGTGTGTGTGTGTGTGTGTGTGTGTGTGTGTGTGTGTGTGCAGTTGAGTATTCTAATCCTAGTGGGTTGTTGGAAAAGACGGAACTGGAAAGAGAAAAGTCAAAGAATGTAGTAGAGATAGAAAATGCAGAAAGAAAGAGAGAAGGGGAGGGAGAGAAGCTATGACATTAATAAAGGGAGGTCACTGAATAAAGTTGTGAAGAGAGAACCATCATGAGAAGAGATTAACTTGGCCATATAAGTTATGCATTTTGTTATGTAGGGCGGAGCTTTCCGTATAAGATTGGCATTGCCGCTTCTGATTGGCTGTATTTATTTACTTTAGTTGCAGAGCTTCTTTTTAAAAGCTTCAGTAAAGGAGTAAAAGTGAGGGATCGCACTGTAGAAGTGAAACATTCTGAATTCAGTGCCTAAACCCAGTCATGCTGAGGTAGTATTCGCGTACACACACAAACATACACAAGTGCATCAAAGGGACAAAATCCTCTTTATACAAACTTTCAAATGTACGGACGCTAAAAGCAAACAAACAAATTTTATCGCGTCCTAAACCGCCAAAACACATCATAAAACTGAAGATGTTGATTTAGTTAAAATAAAAACAAAACAACAACATCCATAACAAAAAAACAATACACACACACGCACACACATACACACACATACATATACACATAGTATCCATCAAAACACCGTATAATGAAATAAAAATGAGGACAGAGAGGACGTGCTTTCTTGACTAACGAAAAGTTAAACTTTTATTATTGGATTTACTACCTTCATGGATTTATACTTGCGAAGGATATAACAACTGAATGAATTTAATTTCTGCAAATTAACATTAAACAAAAAAGTAAGAGAGCAAGAATATCAAATCTTCTTTTCTACAGTGAAAAGAAGAAATAAAAAAAATAAACCAATTGGAATATTTTTCTAACTGTTATCGATTCGTCTCGTGAAACCCGGACGCTGTCCTATATTTCCGATGCCTTGTCTTGAGAGTGGACACTTTGCAATGGACGACTATTTTACCCCGGAGGGTCTGACGGCCCAGCTGAAGGCAGGCCATGAATTACCCTTGTTAGACTGCCGAAGTCAGTGCGAGTTCGCCCGTCGACATATTATCGGGGCAATCAATATCACTATGCCCGCCCTGCTACAAAAACGCCTGAAGACAGGTACCCTTAACGTCCTTGGTATTATACACAATAATGACGCTAAAAAAAGGTTCAAGAGGTATTGGAAAACCCATAAAGTTGTTTTGTACGACGATTGTTCAACGGACTTAAACGAGAATCCATCCAGCTTTCTAAATTTATTACTAGAGAAATTGCGTCAAGAGGGTTGTTCAGCATGCTACTTATTAGGTATGTAAGATGTACAAATTTTATATATCTCGATTGTTTTCCACTTGGTCATTCATTAAGGCTTTTAGGTCAGTATACAACTCGAGTGTAAGTGCACTTTGAATGCCAGTGTGTATGTATGAATAAACTGTCCATTTCAAGTTTTAATATGGCACACCCTGCACTGAAGAAAAAAAGAAGGAAAGAAAGAAATAGTTTCTCAGATATTTTAGGGCTCTGTAAAAAAAAAAAATCTTTTCAAATAACAATGAGATTTAGAGAAAAAATTGAGAATGCGATTTTCCATGCCTATTGACTTAAAATATGTTTCGCTCTTAATTACAATTGTATTAGCAAAATAGCAGTAGTAGTAGTGGTCGTGGTGATATATAGGAGTGGGTCCAAATTTATATGTATTTTTGATGGTTGAGAAGAGCGTTTGCGCCCTTGTTCAATCTTTGTCAGATTTAAATCTACTATATTCAGCAGAATTGTTTTTATTGAACTGCACATAAACAGAGGCAACTTTATTAAACACACTGGTGTAAATGAATGAAGATTCATGACTTTTTTGTCGATGAGTGAAAATTGAAAAACGAACCTTAATGAATGAAAATACAGACAGGTTGTTCGTACATTTTTAATTTAACGAATCACAATTTGTACACATTTTATTCATTTAATAATGAAGTCGTTTTGATTCGCTTGAGACGAACAAAGAGTTACTCTGCTGAAAAAGCGGTAGTATCTTAAAAAATAATCAATACATGGGACTTACTGAGCGGACGTTTCTTTAGTGAGCCAAGTTGTTGTATGTTTACCGACTTCATAATAATATTAAAATGGGGTATAAAAATATTATTAGTTTTCGTTATAAATAAACAATCCTTAAGCATTTTTTGAAACATGTTACGAACGTTTATGCTTCCCATTTTTCTCTCTATGAAAGGTGGTTATTCAACTGCGCGCGCGTGTGTGTGTGTGTGTGTGTGTGTGTGCGTGCTTCATGAGGTTCTAGTTATTACATTTTAAACTCTTTATACATAAGGCTATATTATTGCTTGATGTACTTATATATTGAGCAGTATTGTTACTACATAACCCAAGCCATGTACAAGGGTGAGACTGAATATGGTTTGTTATTGAATCAGTGCATTCAATTCAGAGGAATGCAAGCATAATAATTACATTAATTACGCTGGTATCTATCACTAACTGATGTCTCTCTCTCTCTTACTTTCAATCTGTCTTTCAATCACAGTCTTTCTGTGTGTCTAAACCTCTCTGTGTCTGTCAATCTCTCTGTTTCTCAATCTCTGTCTCTTTAAATTTCTCCCTCTCTCTCAATATATTTGTATCTATGTATTCAATAATCTTAGCCACAGTGCTTGTTCATCATCATCAACAGAAAAGAAATTTAGTGAATAAAGAAAATGTCCATTTAAACATTTTCCTCGTAGAAGTTTTAGAAAATGTAAATGAACGTGTAAATAAACAAAACAAAAATAAACAAAACAAAAATAAGCAAAACAAAAATTGAAGTTTGACTTAGAAAAGTTTCCTATAGACTATTTCTTGTTGGTCTACTTACTTTCTTCCTATTATTTACTTTCATAAGTTAAGTACAATTATGTGATTTATTTGATTAGGAATAAACTATTTGCCTCATTTAAATTAGAACAAAATATGAATGTAAAATAATCTAAAAACCATCACTTAACTTTTAAATCACGTTTTTAAAATAAAATATTGATTTGACTTGTTACAAAGTGTTATTTCGTTGTAACTCTTTCTAATATAGAAAATAATGATTTCAGTTTTACAATCATATTTAATTTATTATTAGAAGTTCAACTGAAAAGTTAATTATAAAAACCATTAATCTTTAATTAAAACATAAAAATCATACATCCTTATTCAATGATTAATTTTCCAAAAGGGAACAATAATGTGCTTTCTTTTCGATTTTTATAAAAATGAAATCGAAATTATTAGAAAAATAACCAAAGATGTGTGAAACAAGTCTTTTAAGAATTAAGTAGAAACTCTTCTTAACTTTAGTTTCAATGGAAGTTCAAAGACTTAAGATTTTTTTTATTAAATTAGAAATAAAATAATGTTTATTTAAAGCATTTAATCGCATAATTATTTGGTAGGATATTAAAACAGTAAAATGGGAGTGCCGTTTTAGCTGACATTACTGATGAATTTTCCAAACTTGATGTTTTCATATGAAAATATTTGATTGGTTCCGAAACTCAGTCTTGAAAACTGGAAAATACAAATGAACTAGAAATGAATTAAGTCCAGATAAAAAAAAAATGCGAGGTATTAATCAAATTAAAATCAGATAAATTCGTTTACATTTTATTTTTCAGCTAATCACATTGATTTAATGTCCACATCTGTTGCTTAAGGTTTCTGAATGGGAAGCGTCTATGTAAATCTCACTGATTTTCTTTACCCTTTTTATTCTGACCGATTAACGTCTGTTGCCATTTGTTTTAAGAGTACTCGTTCTTGAAGAATTCCCTGCGAATTTGTACGAAAATAGAGAAGAGAATTTAAAATTAGCGACAATGAAAGGACTTAGATTTCAAGATTGCCATCCTAGTTTTACTTTTGGGACAATGTTCATCTGTATATTAATGGCTCGATTGATTGACTAATTTGTAAAAAAGATATAATTATTAATTCGAACGTGTGAAAGTAATGCTGCACAATCTATGACGCAATTTTCAAACATAAAATGAAAAGAATCTGGGAATCGAAAATTAATATTTAAATATAAATTACAAACAAGAAAGTGACGTGGATTTTCTTGAACTAATACTTACACCATTTTAGAATTGACTGTCTATAAACAAAATGTATTAAAGGAACATTAACAAAAAAATTACTTCATTTTCACTTTTCAGTATCAAAGTAAATTGTAGTTTCCTTGGTTTACTTTAGCGAAATTGTAATGTTTCTCAATAATTACAATTTTATTCATTTTCTACATTTCAAATTCTTATTTATGGTATAATTTCAATCAGTAAATTATCAATATAATATTTTATTTAGTAAATTACAGCTTTACTTTACATTTACTTACTGTGTCTATACAAATATATTAATTAATTATGATACTTAAATATTTAAAACAATTTTCCCTTTTTTTCGTGGTTATTACGTAAAATTTGTAAGAATAAATTTCTTACAAATTTTACACAATATTAACTAGTCTTTCTGTAAGTTAAAAAGTTTCCTTATTGTTTTTATTGCATGTAAAAGGGTGTTCCAATAACTTGGGCCGATTTTAAATGTGAATTAAGTTTAAAATCGGTCCAAGTTATTGGAACATCCTTTACTTTTACGTACCTGACCGCTTAAATATGTCATTTTAACAACAAAAAATTATAAAGATAAATTTCTTCTGAGTATGGCAACAAATAAGCTAGATATATAAACCCTCAAAACATGCCGTAATCAATTTAAAAATACACTGATCTAAATTAGCTTTCTAAAGAAATAATATTGAATAAAAAATATAATCTAAATAAATTATATACGTACCGAGTTAAGCAAATTTTAAATTTGTTTACATTGTGAGATAAATATTTCAAGAGAAGTCAATGTTAAAAAAACTAAAAGCGTATGTAAGTTTTTCCTTAATTTTAGAAATATAATCTTGAAATTATTTCGAATGTGCCCCTAAACTGTTGAAGTGTGGCTGACAATTAGATCAAGTATTTACTTTAGTAGAAAACATATTTCTTATGTTTTTACACAAGCCACTAACGATCAAATAGACGGTAAGATAAGACAACAATTTTTCTTTATAGCATGACAACAATAAATGACAGCTTTTATTATTGGTATTGTAATTTTGTTCTCATTTTCTAGCATACAACTAAGAAGTGTGGCGTTCAGTGAAATTCCAGTTTGGCTTCCAGAAAGTCATATTGGAAAATAGTTTTGCATATGTTTGTACTTATTGTCTTTGACGTCATATAAGAACATCCCTTCCCTATTACACTTAATCTTACAGTATTATGGAATTAGAATAAGTACAATTAATTCAGTAGTCTGGGAAAATACTCGTCTATCAGATACCTTCGCATATAAGACCCGGAAGGTAATTTTTAACTGTTTTGTGGAATGAGGGGAGTAGGTCGATAGATAAAATATGCATTCTGACAATTTGTGTATTTTATTTCCATCATTCCAACGTTATGAATTTGTAAAAATATTAATAATACTATTTTTGTAAAAAAAAGTTTTCATGAACATTTTTAGGAAGTTGAGTTCAGTAAACGCGTAAAAAGAATAAATGCCAATCAAAATGATGTGATTGCATTTGTCGCTGTCCGTTTTGACAACGAACCATTTGGATTCATATTTTAGTTCACATTAAAAAAATAAATTAATCCAATAACTTGAGCAGTTATCGTCTTAACACCATAAAACCTAACATGGCTAATGCTGCTAAAAACTTTATTTTTACAAGTAATTTGCTTGAAAATGTTGTGTATTGTCATCTTACTATTATCATTCTACTCCATCCTATTATTGTTCCATTTTATCGCATTTGAGTCGTTAAACTCTTAAACTGTTTGAGCAAATAGCACAAAACCTGAAATGAAGAAGTAGTTCCCGGTGAGACTTGAATGTGTACACTAACCCTTGGAAGCTCGACATTTATGGATGTCGCCTGAACCACGTCGGTCATGAAAGCGTCAATAATTTATTTGAGCACAAATCCGTAGTCCCCCCCCCCGCTACACTTTGCAAATTTTAAAAATATATGTATTTATCTGTATTGATACCCGAAAACTGAGATTTTCATCAACAGTAACGGTGCGATGAAAGTTGAGATTTTTCTCAAATTTTGCAACTTCCTCAATAACGCAATAAGAACATTCTTTCTGAAAATATTCTATATTTTATTTCCATTAAAATAATGTAACTTTTAAGAGGGTACACCAAGAATGTTTCAATAAAGTTTTTTTTTGTTTTATGTTTCAGTACAGCACTAAGAATAAATGTAGCGAATAATTGTCCCATTTTTTTTATCGATAATATTAAAAATTTCATTTTGTATAATCTTTTTGTTGTTTTTGCAAGGATATTTTATTTAGATGACATTTTAATTATCGACCATCAAATGTGATCCTGGTTTAAACTTGTCACGTACAATAAAGAGTTTAAAAACTTTTATCCCGAATTAATGAATAATTATTTGCAGTTCTATGCCCTTCATTCTTCATCTTTCTTTTGTTTCTTGTATCCAACTATAATTTTGGTATGCCTATAAATAAAGAGAAGAGAGAACAACAATTATAATTTGTCTAATTATTTTAATTTCCCCAACATCCGGGTCTCCCTTACCAACTCCCTTAAACTTGCCTCCTACACGACGTGTAGGAGGCAAGTTTAAGGCTGTCGATTATTTTACTCGCAACAGTTAATTGTAAAACTGTTCTACATAGCCATCTGGAATGTGTTGATTTGTGACGTCATTACAATTCACAGCCTTAGTAATATAATAATAGGCTTGGACGGAAATATATTACTAGACAACCTAACCAACCATATATACATTTCTCAATTTTACACACTCAAACACACTCCTTCATGTAGAGCAAACGCCCACGTACAAATTCACTCTATAACATTAGTCCGAAAATAGTGCAAATATGAAAAAATGCTACAACTAAGTTTTTAAGTCATATACTCCTTTCCTGAAGTTAAAGGTAACCAGTAAAAGTTGTACAAGAATTAAATTTACCTCACATTTTCACGCGTCTATTTTTCTTTCTCTTAGTGTTTTTTCAGATAGTAACTAGAATCTAAAAAGAGAGAAAAAGTTAATTAAGAACTTTAAGAACTTTCAGTAATTCAGATATTTATTATTACTCTAAAATTTTGCCTTATTCTTCTTCTCCTACTGTATTTCTTTACCTTAATCCCAGTGCGCGCACATGTGTGTGTGGATGGGAAGATGTTTTCTTTTCTTTCTTTCTTTCTTTCTTTCTTTCTTTCTTTCTTTCTTTCTTTCTTTCTTCATAGTTTAATGGGCTCAATATGAGATTATATTTAGCTTGATGTTAACTGCGTTTTATCAATTGCATGCCTGTAACTGTTTTGTGTTCATGCCATATTAAAGTACAAATACGTATGCGTGCAACATGTGTAATTAATAGGTTAATTTTAATGTTTTCCTTTTGGGTAGATTGTTATTAATTTAATGTGAAAAGCAATGTTGCTGTTAAAGTTACCAATGAGAATCGCGGATAACTTTTTGCTATTGATCAATTACTAAAAGAAAACATCTCAAGTCTTTACATGAAAATGTTTCTTTTCGATGTAACGTTTTAGTTTGAAATATAGTTATTTATATCAGACGTTGTTTGGACGCTCAAATCTCTAGTCTCAGTTTCATCTCGCGTAAGAAGTGATATGTAAGAGAACAGGAACTTTGTTGTCTGGAGTTAGAGGTTTCCATTTTTATCTCATGGATCTGACGAGGGATAAAGAACGAACCAGTTGAAACTTTGTGCCGACAACAGTAAATATACAATGAAGAGAAACATTTTAATGTAAAGTTTAGAAAACGTTTTCGTTTTAAAATTTCTTGTATATTGCACATATTCATCTTGATTTGGCAAGATGAATATATACTGCGGTAATGACTCATCTTAAAGTTATTGACAATATCATTATTGTTTGTTATTGCTTTGTTTTTCTTTCTTTTTTACTTGAACGTTTTGTTTCTTCTTGTGTTACAGGTGGCTTTTCAACATTCGAACAAAGGTATCCTGAACTGAGCGCGTTCCTCGATTCGGAAACTGACTCTACCATCATTGGTTTGCGTAATTTATCTTTGTCAGAAGACATTAGTGACTGTGACTCAGAGAACAGTCCGTCAGATATTTCTCCTTTGCCAGTCGAGGTATTACCCAATCTTTACTTAGGCAATGCTAGAAACTCACAGGAGTTGTCATATTTAAAAAAGAATGGAATAAAATATATTCTTAACGTCACTGCTAACGTACCAAATATGTTCGAAAAGGATGAAACCTTCAAATACATGCAGATCCCGATCAACGACCATTGGTCACAAAAACCTGTCTGTATTCTTTCCGAAAGCTATAGCTTTTTATTGGTAAGTATGCAGCATACTTCCAAAACTCTAACCAGCTTACCAACTGATCACTTTACAAATTATATATATATATATATATATATATATATATATATATATATATATATATATATATATATATATATATAAATAGCACCACTGTACGAGCCTATTCCACAAAATAGCATTTCTTGAGAAAAAATGTCTCTAGAACTTCCATTTTGAATACAGAGGAAGTGAAGGTGATACGATTCCGAGAAAGTAGCATGGCGTATCCTTGCAGCAAAAGGTCTGAACTAGTGGAACGTAGGAATGTTTCCTGTAGATGTATTTATATATGTATGTGCCTCCTTGGAGTATGTGTGTACACAACATAATCATATAAATACATATCAAATACATGCATCGATGAGAAGCTTGTAAATTTATCTGAATTTTGGTCTAAAACCCCTGTGATTGTGCTCACAAGTATTGACGGCGAATTTTCTAGAATGTGTCACCGTTCTTTTGGGTGTGTTTTTAAATGTTACCTGTTTTGTTGGTTGTCAATAGACTTTCAAGTAGGCTGACTTTGGGGATTTCTCCCAGCTCTCCCTTTCCTATCAGTTGTTAAATTTTCTTTAGTTTTCTTTACTTTCGTGACTCACAATCATTAGCATTTGGTCATAGATGACGTCACAACATTTGTTACTTGTGAGCAGTCACCCGAGCTATCTTTTGCCCATACAACAGCGCCTTAAAGCCTAATTTTTAAGTGCTATTAGGTGTGAAAAGACAACATAACATTATTATTATTATTTCATCAGTGAACTTATATGTCTGTGTAAGTAATTTTATAGCAACGTGTTCAATTTGAACAAGGGTAAAATTGAGAGACATATTTCTATTATTTCAACTAAAAGTTTAATACTTTCGAAGCCACATTACTTAAAACTTTATACTAGAGAATAGTGTTGAGTATATTAACATTTCCTTTGCTATCGAAAAGAAGTAAAAAATAATTTGGACAAACAAATTGAATCTAAATTTAAAATAGTGTTTTGATAAGAGAATATTCAAGTTTATACTTCTAATTTGTAGACGTTACAAATTTATTTTTAAATTTTAATTTATTAATAACACAAAATTCAACATAAATTACTACTTCTTTCAATTGTAATAGTTTTTTTTCTAACAAAGGTGCAATTATTGACCACGTAAACAATGTTTTTCTTTAATACTTAGTACTTTAGTGCAGTTAGTGCTTCTCTGTCATGCGCCGAAAAAATTGTATCACTGTTTACAAAATCCTTTCACATTTTTGTATTCATATTCATCTGTGAATTCTCGTACGGAATTAATGCGTAGATTGATTGACACTGAGTGCCAAATAATTAATCAGAAGATTATATACAGTTTCAGAAACTTAAAGGTACTTTTTGCAAAAATAAAAAAAGGCACGCTGTTTTGTTTTTATTGCAAATATCCAACGTTTTCATTATTTTTATCAGTTACAAATAGACAATTGACAAGAGAATTTGAAATAATTTGTGGTTACATGAATAAAATTAAATACATGATATAGGTACTAATCGCAATAAATCTAGCAAAATAGCACTTTTAAAATTGTCATTTTAAAATTTCCAATAGACATCGAAGAAGTTATGATTTGTTATGATTTTGTTGTGAGAAAGATTAAGAAAAAGAAATAAACAATGCAAAATGAATTTTTTCACTTCAGTCTATAAAATAAATTAAAATCTATACAGTGAGTGAAATTCAATTGCTGCCTGACAAAAATATTTACAATCCTCTATACATACTTGTCATTGCAATTGTTTCATTCGATACAGTTGAAAATAATTATTAAAAAGTAAATTGAAAGAAAGACAATTTTCTTGAGGAGGTTATTTCAAAATTATAGATATTTTCATTTACTTTACGGAATATTTTATAACGAAAAATTGAAATTACAAAAAATAACTGTACAGCCTCTCTGGTATTGTAGATATTTTTCTATGTAAATTTAAGTTAAATTTTCCCTCTTTTAATATTCATTGGAGGTCTACTACGCATTTACAGTGTGTATAATTTTTCTTAATTGTAATCTAGTCAGTGAATTATTATTATTGTTGTTGAATGAACTTTCTCATCAGTAATACCTGGTTTCTCGTATATATTTTTGCCGATTTTAATAATGCGATTGTCTGAAAAATTTCAGTTCCTAATTCTGCCAATCATTTTGTAAGGTTCCAAGCACTCCAATAATTATGGATACCATTGCCATCTTCATGTTGCAGAGAATCAGATGTTTCAGTTAGGTTTGGTGTGACGAATAGTAATCTAAGCATCTATATTCCAGTTTTCTTGCCTCTTACTAAGTGTTTTAGTATAACATGTATTTGTACTTGCTTCTTCTTATTTATCGTGTTCATTTGCCTCATTCTTTTTGAAAGGAATTCTTTTAGAGGTCTCAGTGCTTTTTTGGGCTACAATTATTTTCATATTCCATGAGTTTATAGTTCTCTTGCAAGTCTCAGATATTTTCCAGCTTTTATTTTCTTTCAGTCTCCCTCTGAGATATTCACTGAAAAATTTTCGTGACTTGGATTGCATATTCTAACTGAATTTCAAAACCTCGAAGGATGTTTTTCTATTCTTCGAATCAGTTTCTGATTTGTTTACATTCGAGTTGTTTACCCAATTCATAAATTATCAGCGTTCCTATTCCGTTGCTTCTATTTATTGTACGTCTTCTGAGATAATTCTCTACTTCCACTTATTGATTTTATTTTTATGTCTGTCCCCGTACAGACGATATTTGCTATTTTGTCTTGTTTATTTGAGCATTGATGTAATTGTGTTTTCGGCTGCTATTGCTATAAAATCAGTTTCCTTTTTCAAATATTCTTTACGCAATCATACTCTCGCTATTTCACATGAAAGACAATTTATCTTTTATTTACACTATTTACAGTCGGACTATTGCCATCTTTGTCATTGAGGACAATAGTTCGATTATAAATAGTGTAAAAGTAATGATAACTCCTCATTCCAGAAATTCAGACAGAAATGTGTCTGTTAAATTCTCCATTAAGTTGTTTTCCTTTTTATAGAGCTTTCGATATTCAATTACGTTACTTATATTTAATAGAATATATCTGTTGTCTAGATTAGAATCATCGAATGCAGAAAAGTGTTTTACAATCTGTACTTGTCACATTAAATTTTCGATAAGTGTTTGAGAATAAACTCAACGCTTATTACATCAATATAGAATTATGTCTGCGCATATTCACTGATTATTAGTCGTATATTCTTGAGCTTATTCGCAAAACTGTGAGTGGATGACGTTTTATAGTAAAGTATGAAGTTACAGAACATTAATAAATTTAGATATTGATTTAACTTGTGCAGAAAATAGATTGTTGAATTTTTTGTCTGCAGTCAATTGCCAACTTATCTTACGCATGCGCATTGAATTTCTATCAGATAATTTATCTGAACCTCCGATGTAGCAGATTCCTAATCCCGCTACGTTCGTGTCTGCTGCCGAATTTAACCATCACTATCTGACATGAGAAGGTTGTTGGGAAGACATATTTTCGTTAGTTTACAAGCACCTGCTTCTGATTATACACTGCTATCTTTGCGTTTACGCTTGTCTATGATTGCGAAAGTAAAATGAAGATTTCTTGTTCGAAACAGACATAAAAATGATAGTTTGATTGAACTTTAGACTATGGTTGCTTTACTATGAAATGAATTCAACACTAAATAAATTCTTTGCTGCGAGGATATCGCAGACTTGAAGAAGAAAAACTTCTTCGTTCATATTTCATGTTAGTTTCTTTTATTCCTGATTGAAATTCATCAAAATTGAGTTATTTTGTTAGTCGCACAATTATAAAAAAATTAGGTTTTTAACCCTCAACTTCTCTTAAGCTTTTTTCTGTTGGAAGATAGTTCACGTACGGCTACTTCATTATTAATTGATATTTTCGCCGTTATTTGGATTTATTGAGACGCCAGTAATATTTATTATTATAGGATGTGGGTGTGGTGTAACCGATCTCGGTGTAAGAATGGAATTGGCGAGTCGAGTTTAAATTTCACGCTAGTATTTTACGTTCACCTTCGCACAAATGTCCTTGGGGAAGTCATGAATCTGTATCTTCTCCCCTCAGCTATGGGTTAACTAGCCTTGGGTGGTAACCAGTATAATGAAGGAAAATAAATTCCAAACAATAGAGAAGGTAACAGGAAACCACTTCACTATATTTCCCAAGAATTTATAGCAATTTATAGATAAAGAAAATGCTGTGGTGTAGGCGATCATAACGAGCGCCTATGCCCTGAGGGACATGAATTAAAAATATATTTATTTATTATTAGTGTTTTGCACTCGTACAAATTTTACGTTTGAATCTTTGCAAATCCTACAATTATGTTAAAAGATCACAAATGAAAGTGAAACTTAAAATTTATTAAAATGTATTTACACTATTTATATCCAGACTATTGTCCTTGTCTTTGTTGTTGCTATCACAACGTTTCGGCTGCTGTGCCCTTTGTTCTTCATGTGTATATAGATTTGGATAACTTACAGGGAATTCTGAACGGAACCCTTTAATTAATATATGGGGGCAGACTGTTCTCGTTCCACTGCTCATGTCTAAGGATATCTAATCTAATTCCTATTTTTATTTACTCAGTTATTGCTCGCCTGCTTCTGCTGAGTGCAAATACGCACTACCCGACTCAGGGATTGAACTCACAATCACCATGTCACCAATTCAATGGCCTAGTCATGGCGTAGAAATTCAAACAGGAATTATTAAAATTAATTGTAAAAACTAAATAATTGACATATGAACTGATTGTTGTTTTAATATTAACTATTTTTTATAAACATGTTATCACAATTGCCAATGCCTAGATATCATAGATAGGAAACCGGAAAATATTGAAATTTAAATCATTTGCGCGCACTATGGTGTTGGGTCTGCAAATATTGGTAACTATCACTGAGAATATAAATAGTAGTGGAATTCAAGAATTAAATCAGGTGTAAGTCAATGTTATTCATTTACTAAGCCAAGTTAGCACGTATCTATTGCGTCTTCCTCTTTATTGCCATTCACCTATTATCGTATACGTCTTAAATATTGTTGCGGCACTTTTATTCTAATACAAAGACATATTAACCCTCACACAAGCGTCACAGAAGACTAAAAATCGCCTATACAGAGATGAGTTACTTGCTGATATTTTGTAAGTTTTACGTTCAAGAAAAAAATTTCCCGTCATCAGTGAAGGTTTTCATCATTTGCTGGTGGTCGGTTACTATTTCGTAGCTAAAGAATAAAGAATCTATTTTAAGAGCAAGCAACCTCATAGCAGTCTCCATTACGACTTCATCTTCTTAACAAAGTATAAATACCATAGATTTTCTTCTATGATTTTTCTGAAACAATATAAGAAATATGTGTTCTAATGCATTGAATATTTTGATATTTTAAAAATTATCTTGGAAAAACACATTCAAATATTTTGAACTATATCGCACATAACATAAGTTTATGTATATGTTTTTTTTTTTTCCGGTGAACTTCAAAGATTAAATATCATTGAGAAAATGTAGAAGGATAAAAAAAAACGAATCGGTAGTGAATAATATCACATTACTCATGAATACATTTTCTACCAAGTTGAATCAACGAGCCGATCTCAAATTCCGGCATAGTCTAATAGAGGGCTTAGAACTGGGTTACTTTGCATTGGCTGATAGATAGTTTAATAGAAGGAAAACTCTGAATTCCAAACTGTGGAGAAGACAGCGCGAAACCAATCCGCTATATTTCACTTGGAAATTCACAAATTATAAAGAAAATGAATCTGTGGAGAAATCTGCATGCCTATATCCTGAAAAGACATTGTATTAAAAAAGAAAGAAAGAAAGAAAGAAAGAAAGAAAAAAAAAACGAACTAAACTTAGCTTAATAAATCTTCTATTAGGCTGAAATAAATGACTGTATTTGAATTTCGGTTTATTTCGTATCATTCCGTTCTGTTTCTTGGTACATTTTTAAAATTCTGCATCTATTCCTTCGCGTGTTTTTAAAATTTTTACATTACTTTCCTTTGTCTCGAAGCAAAAATGAATAAATGCAATTATCGTGGCATTATATATTAGTTTAAACTACTGCTTTGCTGAACCTACCTGGAATATCAAGTGTTTTCGTGGTTGATTTAACTGGTGATTTCGGGGTTATGATTTTGCTTCCATAGTTTGACACGCAATGCAATTTGCTTGTTCCTTCGAAATTATACTTTTCTTGATCCTGTGTTTCTTGTTGATGAAAAGTGGTTTCTATATGATAATTGGAAACAGGTTTTCTTTGTCTCTACAAACTCACTCTTCTTTCAACTGACCTTCCCACTGCCACAAAACAATGATTCATCTGGCACTTTGGTGGAGTAATCCATTACAATCTTACTGAAGTAATCCATTACAATCTTTTGTAACTTGTAACTTATTGTCAGGTATCGGAAATGATGCATCAAATTTGCAAGCATTTTTGGTGAAAAGAAAAGTGCTTCTCCCGCTGCAAAATATTTCACAAAGCACCCGACAAAAACTGATGTAATGAGACACCACAGTTCAGTACCTGTACTCAACTTTTCCGGGTCTTAGGTGCATATACATGCGAGCAAGCAATGCAAACTAAGTTAAAATGCCTTCTGACAATTTGTCGACTCGCGTGACCAGTTTTTGTCTGAATGTTGGCAAACTTGTGTCGATTCTAATTATGTTTACTGTGACTAAAATTGTGTTTGAGCCATGCTATGACGGTTTCAAATTTGTGGTTTAAAATTATCATTTTTGTTTTAAACTAATCCATATACAAACTATTCGCTGGAAATCTTGGGTATGAGATGCCAAAAATTGTTCTAATGAGTTCTTTACTTGCAAGCCGCTAATATGAAGCTGTTTTTGTGCCAAATTACTTTCTTGCAATGTAACAATTCATTATAAATATATTATTGAAATGGGAAGTAACACAGCACTAACAATAGGGAATGCTGCGGCCCTTCTTTTAGTACAATAGGGAGGTACCGTTTATGCTTTTACACCCAGTGCCAAGACTAATTTATTAGTAAAACTTTTTAGGGAGCCCAGCGGAAACTAATTGTTGCTTGCGTCTTATCTGTGATATTGTCATTCCTTATCGCTTCCTTGCCCCCCCTCTCTCGCTCACACTCTCTATTGTGTTCGTTCTTATCTTCATCTTTTCCAGCAACTACTTTTCTATTGATATTTTTCTTGCTTTTTGTTCTTTCTTTCATTATCTTGTGTATCTCTCTCAAGTTTTTCTAATTTCAACGACGCTTCTTTCTTATTTGCTCTCCCTTTCATTTTTTCTTTTTTCATTCCTGACAAAATTGTTCTTTATCAAAATTGTACTTCATTACAAAAACCTAACACCGCCCCTCTCTCCTACTCTCTGTTTATATATATATGCCCCATGTTACCTATGTCTTAACGAAAAATTTGAAATAATTAGATTTAAAAATAAGACTGATCTCTTAAATCAAAGATATGAACTAACAGTTAATTGTAAACACCGTTATAAATTTAACTTATTATAGGGGTCGTATACTTTCTATGATAATGATATGTCGCTGTAAGTTTAATAGATTATTACTTTTATAACCTGATGGTCATCCTGACGATGAATGTGTATTGTGTACCTACATAGTGTTATTCGTGTCTGTATATGCGTGTATATATTTGTGTGTATGTATGTGTGTTTGTACTGCTGGATGTGTATGTGTGTATATAAATTTATATATATGTTAGTAGGTTTTTATATATATATATATATATATATATATATATAAAGTAAGAAGATAAAAGGGAGGAGAAGAAAGGAGGTTAAAAATATTGTGTATATATATATATATATATATGTGAAAAGTGTGTATAAATATAAATATATATATATATATGTATAATTATTTATATATTATATATATGAAAGCGCTCAATATCAGAGATAGAGTTAACATATTTGGATGGATAGATGTTTGTGAAGGAGACCTGGGTTTCATTGTATGATTATTTTTTATATATATATATATATATATATATATATATATATATATATATATATATATATATATATCCAGTTATATTGTGTATCTATATTTATATTTGTATATTTCTGTATGTATGAATATGTTTATGTATGTATGTTAGGATACATGTATATGGGGTGTGTGTGTATGTATATATATATGTATATGTATGTATATGTATGTACGTTTATGTATATATATATATGATGTATGTGTATTTATGTGTATGTATGTATATATCATGTATATATATATATATATGTATGTATATGTGTGTGTATGTGTGTATATATATATATGTGTGTATACCTATCATATATGAGCTTGTTTGTGTGTATGTGTAGGTATGTAAATATTGGTTTGTGTCTATATGTATATATATGTATATATATATATATATGTATTATATATGTGTATATATATATATATATATATATATATATATATATATGTGTATGTGTATGTGTGTATGTGTGTATGTATTATATATATATATATTGTATATTTATGTGTTTATGTGTGTATATATATTTATATATATATATATATATGTGTGTGTGTTTATCTTATATGTATATATATGTACAGTGTATTATATATGTGTATACTCAGGATGTGTCGATACAAATCCTGGTATTTATACATGATTATATATTTGTATATGTGGATGTATGTTCGTATGTTCTAGTATATGTATATGTATGTATATATATGTCTTGGAATATATCATCGATACTAACTAAAATCTACTTTTGTTTGATAGGGATTTTTTTTAATTGCTTATAGACTTAATCAACAACTGTGTGTGGTTACTTTTAAAAAATTATTATGAACTTTTACTATATTTTATCGTCAATAATATAATGTTGTTAGAATATATGTAGGTTTCTGTATATATATTCCCATTTTTATGTGTATATATATATATATATATATATATATATATATATATATATATATATATATATAATATGTATATATATATATATGGATGTGTTTGTGCGTATATATATGTCTATATAGGTGAATTTACGTTTGTATGTTTTTTGTGTATATACGTGTTTTGTATATATTTGGTATATATGTATGTTTGTTTAGTTTATATACGTATATGTATACATGCATATGTTTATGTATATATGTGTATATGTATGTGTATATGTATGTATATGTATATGTATTTGTATATATGTGTATATATATATATTTATATTTGGTTTGTTTATTTTTTTACGTCACTGTGTGTGGGTTGATATATTTATACTTGCTTCTGTATGTATATATATATATATATATATATATATATATATATATATATATATATATATATATATATATATTTAATGTTTATTTGTGTGTATCTGTATATGTATATATGTGTGACACAAATATATCTGTATTAAGAATATCTTGTTTATTATCTTATTTTCTTTTCACCTAATATATAATAAATATATCGACTTATATGATAAAAATATATTTTTTATAGATGTTTGTGTGTTTGGAATTTTCGTTTTTTTATATATTAGATAATGTTATTTTTTAATGGCATTTTTATCTATGTATATTTGCCCCGTATAAGTTATATTTTAATTTATAAGTAAAGTTTAGCATTCGTTTAATAACACTTTCAGTCTTGAATATTTCTTGGTTGTGTTATCAGATTGTCTAAAAATGTATGTGGATGTGTGTACATGTATTTATCGGTGTCTATGTGTATAGAAAATGCATGCACATTTAATTGTGTATGTATGTATTTGTTCGTTTTTTTTTTTTTTTTTTAAAAGGCCGTGGAGATGTTTCCTCTTTTCACTTTTTGTGTGTGTATATATCTAAATATGTCTGGGGGATTATGTATTATAATCTGAATGTGTTTTTATTGTTTTACATGAGATGTTAGCACCCCATTCACACACTTGGGATTAAAATGTATACATTTTGTCGGGAAGACCAGCTGATGTGAGCGTCTATTCTAACGTAATTTCAATGAAGAAATAAATTGAATAACATATGTATTTTTTCTTTTCTCCTCAGTAATTTTATAATTTTAAACTTAATAGAGATTAAATTTAGATTTTAAAATTGGTAATTTTTTACTTTTAATTTTAATATCAAATTTTATCATATAATTTAATACTTATTGGTTAGAATAAATTCTTTTTTAGTATAACCCCAACTTTAAAGCTCTTAATAGCTATTATAACCCTACTTCGTTGTCAAGCTTTTTGAATTCTCCTATACTTGTGTTTTGATTAGTCATTCTAGCTTTTGTAACAAACGTTTTCCCCTTACGAAGGATCGTTAATTAATTTGAAACTTTTAAAACCATTTATTTTACATTCAACATCATCACTTGATAAGACATCAGAAATGTTGAAACAAAATGGCTATTTTTATGATTTTATAACATATTTTTATGTTAAATAATTTTTAAATAAATAATTATATATATATATATATAGATATATATATAGATATATATAGTTCAATTGCATATAGATAATTGCCTTTTTTTTCCTACCGAGTTTTTTTATATTACAATGTTGATCGTGCACTTTTTTCTTCTTTTTAAACCTCTCATTCTCTCCCCGCTACATAATAATACATCATTTGGAATATATATTCCTGAAGGTTAGATGATATTCATGTTTGTCTGTCCGGAATTCCTGTTTTGTTTAATTTGTGTATGTGTGGAGAAAGGATATTTTCACCCTATGGTGCTTTGATTCTGTAACACGTAACCGTTTTTTTTTTTTTTTCCTGCACCTTCCTCAAATAAAATCTGCCAACGTGGACCTCATATTTCGCGTTATGGTAGGTGGGGGAATGAAGGATAAACTATATATCAATCTTATGTTCGAAAAAAAAAAATAAAAAGTTAAACAAATTTGTCCATTTGTTATTGTCTGTTTGTGTATGTACCCAAATTGTTTAATTGAAATTATCATATAAAATTAAATAGAATAATATAAACCTTTATTTAAAATAATTTTTGAACAGACGATTTTTTTTCTAAATCATTTTGCTGTTAGTGTTATTTATACATTAGAAATAAATACATTGTAAATGCTGAACACCTCAAGTATTAATATGTGAGAGTTATTCAGCGTGCAAGTATATTTTAAACAAGTAAAATAGAAGTTATGTAAAATCATTTACTTTATATTTTTACCTGTTTCTCATATATGGAAACTTTTATGATGAAAGTGACATAAATTTTAATTTGACTCCAGTAAAAAATGGAGAATCACTTTCAGTACCTTTTCAAAATTTCATCAGTATATTTGGATCATACATTTGTTTTTTGTCTTTTTAGAATATGAATGAATAAACAACGAATATTGTTTAATGCTTCCACTTAAAACTTTCAGATATCAATTCTTATTAAATGATTTACATTTCTTCAACATTTTTATTTAATTCTACATGTATCAAAATTAAATTAGAGATTACTTTCTAACGCAACTTATTCCCAAGATTTGTAAAAGTCTTCGACTATTCAAGTAAACGTGAGCACTAACAAACAAATTTGCACATTATTTATGTTGAGAGAACAGTCATTTTTTTATTTAATGATTTACCTTAACACTAAATATAAAGATACAATAAGGATCGAATTCACTAATAAAGGTCAACTGGACAAGCTCACTAACTATTATGCTCCTGCACCACAGCAGTCAATACAATACCTTGTTTTCAAATTAAACACATTCTTATAATACGAATATTTGGCTTAATCCAAAATATTAACAAATATGGAACGGGCACGCTTCCATTTGTTTATATAAAATCCCCTAATGCTCTATCAATTTTAATTACTATTTTCTGGTTTTTCATCTAATGGCCTCCCGGATGTTGATCAGTTTAATTCAACTAGGTATTTATGCAGATGAATCAACCATTTAATTCTTTGTCTTAGTAACAAAATTCGACTAAAAACCGAGAATTTTATTTAAAAAAGAACCTACAATCAGTCAATAACTGGGTAAGAAATGGCTTGTAAATTTTAACGTGTCCAAAAACAAAACTGGTTTCATTTAATCACCATTTAGAACCTTTTTTTACCTACCATCATATAACTGATGCTACACCTTTCATTGAGAGCAAAATCTCTTTTTTTCTTGATTTAATCATTTAATATTGAATCATGAAGGTCTACTGAATATATAAAGTTGGTTTACTATATAAAGTTAGATAAAATTTTCTTGTTAGAATCCATCTTGCATATTTATAAATCTA